CGACATGGGTCTTTGAGCCAAACACGGCGACGGAGCGGGAGGAGAAGAAGGATGAGGAGGACTTGTCGATCTACGTGGTCGACCTGTTAGCCGCGGGCCTGCCGTTGTCATTTTGTGGCGGTCCCGAACGCCCCTGGCTGCCCAAGAACGGGCATCAACACAGCCCGGACGGCCGACAACAATGACAAATACTGTTTTCCCCGGATGCCCCCAATGGAACCCAAAGGCTGCCCAGAAAGACGTTATGGCGCGGCGGCCCGCAGCAAAAAAACACCCTCCGAAACAACCTACAGGCGTCCAAGAAGCCCCCCAGCGGCTCCAGGACCCCAAGGGGCCCCAAAGCCATTCCCACAACCACCTGCAAAAGACGTCCGAAAGGCCACCCAGGACAAGCAAGGCACGGTGGTGGAGTGAGCCGAATGCCGCTAGATAGATTTGATCCTGAGGCTCTTTAGAGGCAGGTCCCCAGGACTCCGACCGAACACCCCGCTCGAGGCATCACAACAATCTGGGCGTGAACAGGGGCATGTCCTGCCGCCTGGCGCCCCACCCTGGGGCGCCCAAGTGCAATGCCTGCCACGCTGCTCTCCAGAGACAAGTGCTGCGGACTCCGAACGAGCGCCTCGATCGAGACATCCCTACAGTCTGGGCGCGGACGGGGAAGGCGAAGGAGGAGGAGGAGGAGGAGGAATAGGAGGAGGAGGAGGCGGAGGAGGAGGAGGAGGAGGAGGAATAGGAGGAGGAGGAGGAGGAGGAGGAGGAAGAGGACAAGATTTGCTTCTGCGCTCTCTTCCGACCACGGTGCCGTGGCCCTGCCGCGGTCATGGCCCTTCTGGGGGTCGTTTTTGGCGCTCTCTGCCATGGGGGCCGCCTCTCGCGGCCTTCGTGGTCCGCGTCGGGGCCCGCTCGGGCCGCGCACGCCATCGCGCCGACGGTGGCCAGCCTTGAAGGTCGCTTCGGGGGGGTACTGCGACGACCTACCAGACCACCGCAGCCCAGCCCAAAGAGAGACCCAGAGTTCGGGTTGGGCGGGGGACGGGCTCGACGTGTGCCCGTCGATCTTCCCCGAACCCCTCCCCCCCCCCGCTGGGAAAGGAGAGCAGATTGGGTCGGGTTGGGGTGGTTTTGGTGGGCGGTGAAATTTGGGGTCTTTGGGAAACGCGCCATACGCCCACGCAACTGGATGGCAAGCCCACGGCAAACTAGTCGAGTTATAAGGGGAGGATGATGCGAATGCGAAACTCTCATCACAACCACGGCTTCGACACAAAAGTGAGGTGACACGGGCGTGCGATTTGTTCACCGCGAAATGTACCGGACGGTCGGAGGAAGCGTGTGGACGTACAAAATCGAAACGCATTGAAAATAGGTTGGGCTTCCGCCAGATCCCTGAAGAGGAGGGAAGAGAAACAACCCCTCGACTCTTGAAAGTGTCTAAAGTATAGATTCCACTCAAAGACCGACAGGTAATGTTGTTACTACCAGTCGGCTCGGCGATAGTATGTCCACGTGCGTCTCATTCGCTTTGCTGTCATTGTGTTGGGTGCTTGTCTTGCGTGCTGCCCGCCGTTGTTGATTTTCCCCTACACAAGGACATCCGCGTAGTTCCATCATGTGTCACCTCATGGCGCGCGCGCAATGTAGAAATACACGTGCTCCTTCAACACAGCCGCACGAATAGATAATCGTCGCAAGCAACTTATCATTCCCGAATGCTGAATCTGGATACACACTGACATTCGAACCCCTGGACTTCCCAACATCGCACGTCAGCTTCCACATGTCAAATATGCAATGGCCGAGCATAACTGCAAATGAACCTGCAACGTCCGCAAAGTAAGCACGTGCTGACCGAGTCGAGAATGCGTCCAACAATCGCAAAAAAATGTTCGATGGTACGTTGTGATGGTAAATCGCCTGGGCCATGTGGAAAGCAATCGTTACTGACACCGTCCGGGACATGCGGCAAGTGAGAGGGCGTCTTCCTCCTCCTCCGCCTCCTCCTCCTCCCCCTCTCTCTCCCCCTTTCTCCACATAAAGAAAATTGTTAAAGCTCCAGATAAAACGATGAGCAGTTTGCAAAGAGGTTTCATGCGCCCCACCACGGCAAATCCACGGCAAACTGAATCGAATATGAGGAGGATGTCCTCCCTCTCTTCCTCCTCATATTCCTTCTACTTCTCCTCCTCCTCCTCCTCATCCTCCTCCTCCTCCTCATCCTCATCCTTATCCTCCTCCTCCCCCCTTCTCCTCCTCCTCCTCCTCCTACTCCTCCTCCTCCTCCTGCTCCTCCTCTTCTTCCTTCTCCTCCTCCTCCTCCTGTTATTATGCTTCTTCTTATTTATAGTATTAGTCTTGTTGTTAGTATGATTGATAGTAGTGTTGATACTAGTATTACGAGTGTCCTTGTTTGTCTTGATATTACTAGTATTATGATTAATAGTATTATTATTAGTAGTATTATTATCAGTCTGCTGCTTCGTAATGTTGTTCTTATTATTATCATTAGTGTGATCAGTAGTATCATCAGTACTATTAACATTAGTTTTATCATTTTTATTCCTAATAGTATTAGGATTCCTCCTCCTCCTCCTCCTCCTCCGCCTCACCCTCCGCCTCCGCCTCCTCCTCCTCCTCCTCCTCCTCCTCCTCCTCTCCTCCTCCTCCTCCTCCCTCCTCCTTCGCCTCCTCCGCCTCCTCTTCCTCCTCCTCCTCCTCCTCCTCCTCCCTCCTCCTTCGCCTCCTCCGCCTCTCCTCCTCCTCCTCCTCCTCCTCCTCCTCCTCCTCCTCCTCCTCCTCCTCCTCCTCCTCCTCCTCCTCCTCCCTCCTGCTCCTCACCCCCCCCCTCCTCCTCCTCCTCCTCCTTCTCCTCCTCCTCCTCCTCCTCCTCCGCCTCCTCCTCCTCCTCCTCCTCCTCCTCCTCCCCTCCTCCTCCTCCTCCTCCTTCTCCTCGTCCTCCTCCTCCTCCTCCTCCTCCCTCCTCCTCCTCCTCCTCCTCCTCCTCCTCCTCCTCCTCCTCCTCCTCCTCCTCCTCCCACCTTCTCTCCTCCATCCTCCTCCATCCCTCTTTTCTCATAAACAACTCCCCCCTGTCGCACCCACAGACATGCCAGTAGGGAGACCCTCTCACCATCATGATCCTGAAGCTTGACAATGGCAAGAGTTTCACGAGGACGTGTCCTGCTACGGGTTCGACCAGTTTGCCGTGGAATTGCCGTGGTTTCAGCAATTCTGAGGCGCCCCTGACGGCCCAAGAACGGGCATCGTGATGGCACAGACGGCTTCCACTAATGACAGAAATGTATCCAAATGCCCCCCAGTACATCCCCACGGCGGCCCAAGAGGCCCGTTGCGCGGCGGTCCACGGCAAAACCCAAGGCACAGTTCCCGAAACATGTCAGAGGAGAACTTGGTCCGCCTCTCCCTCCTCCCCTCGAAGAATCCTCCTAGGGTGCTCAGGGTTCCCTTGGTGAGTCTATGGGGCGTTTGTAGGATCCCGTTTGGGGGTTCACGGGGTCGCAGCGGGGTTTCTTGGACTGTCTCGGGTGTTCTGGAACCCAAACTCGGGAAAGAGGGAGAGAGAGAGAGAAAGAAAGAAAGAAAGAAAGAAAGAGAGGAGCAGGATGAGGAACCTGTAATATTGCTATGTTTTCGACCTGCTTGCCACGGGTTCACTGTGGGCATATGTTGCAGCGGCGCCGCAGCCGAGACCACGTTGAAAACGCAGTGTTGGGCGACGACCCAAAAAGGCCTTCTAACAGCTCCTGCGAAAGCACGAGACAACCTCGACGGGCCAAGCGGGCCCTCTTGAGCCGTCTTGGGGACCTCTCGGGCCTTCTGGGATGTGCTTGGGCTGGCAGGGGCCACATCGAGGCCAGCTTGGGCGTCTCCCGGGGGCGATCTTGGGGTCGTCTTCTTGGGCCCTCTTGACGTCGCTTGGGCTGTCGCCCAACGCTGCATTTCAACGTGTTTTCATGCTGCAGCGGTGATCGCGGCAACACGCCGCGGCAAACCCACGGCAAACTCCACGTCCGAGATGGAGCTTGCCCTGGTGACCGAAACGTCCTCTCCAGTACATCAGGCCACATTTCGGAACAAAAGGCGCGGTGACGCAGCCCTGCTAGACCACTTAACAAAAGACAATCCTGAGTATCTGCTAGCGGGCACCCCGAAAACAGGTGAACCGAAAGGAACAACAGGTACTTGTCCCCCGAGCGTTCTGCAAGGAGGCGCCCAGACGTCTAAGCCGTTCAACAATGAGCCTCCTCCTCCTCTTCGAGGCCTACCCCGGCGAAACCCAGCGGAAGCAACCATGAAAACCAGCAGAGGAACACGAGGGGCGACCTCGTCCGCGGAAGCCAGCGGAAGCGAAAGCCGGCACACTGGAAGAGGCCGATATCTGGGTCTTCTGGGCTCCGGCGATTCGCCACTCGGAAATCAGAACTCCTCGGGAGCATGACGACGTGGCCCAGTCTTTTACTAGATGCAGACATATACCACAGGGGTGCGCAGCGGCGCCAGCTAAGTATCTTGGCTGACTGCTTTGAATTCCGCCTCCCAGCGCCGTGAAACAGTCTGGGGAGGCGGGCACAATTACAAAGCGACAAGTCGCATTACAAAGCGACAAGTCCTGCGAACCTCCATCTGCGCATGCGTGCGCGAGAAGTCGTCGCAGTGCAAACGTGAACCGATATATAAAGCAGCATTCCCAGCACGAATGGACATCATCGTGAAGAAGCCTCGGGTCGAAGATGCGAGTAGCGGAGGGTGGAGTGGCAACTAGAGGGGACGAGGCCATCTCGCGGCCCGAAGCGAGGGGTGCAAACGATTTGTTTGCCCCGAAAAAAAAACTTACCAGAGCCAAGAATGAGCTGAACGAGCGCGAGGAAGCGAACCGATGTGAAATAGGCGAATGCTCAACGAAGAGGGAACACTCAATTCGATGGTGACCTCCTCGGCGCACTCAAAGCAGACGTGCACTCCACAACGAGTGATGTGGTCTATGACCTTGACCGGCCCGCGGGCCCGAAGGTGCCCTCGACTGTGTCCCCGGCCGCGGCCTCGCTCAGCAGCCGCCCCTGAAGGAGGGACACACAACGGTGACCATGACCAATCGGCTACACGCAGGAGCGACCCTGGGTAAGAGTGACCTTTGGTGCGCGGCGTTTTGGGGGCCGCGGGGGGACCAAACCTGGGCGCGCAAGCCACTGCTCCTGCTTCGTTTTCAGCCATCTGGGGAACGCTTTGCGCCCGCACCAAAGGTCACTCCGGCGAAAGGTCACTCTTACGTCTAGCCGAACCAAGACTCAACGCGAACACGCCGATGCCGATCTCGGCCATCGTCCATCTCGGCAAGCGCCACTTCGCGGATCATCCCCACGACCCGGCGGCCGGCCAGCACGGGCCACGACCGAGATCGGCGCCGGCGAAAAATCCCGCGGCGTCTCGGCGCCATGGCCGGCGCGGTTCTTCCCCCGACCTCGGGCAGGACCGCGTCCACCCGCACGGGACCAGGGCACAGCCTGCCCCCGCGACTGTCTGCCGCCAGCCAGTCCCGCACGTCCG